AGCCGCCCTGAGTCCTTCGGGAGAAGGGCGGGATACAAATTGAATAAAATGAAATGAAATACTTTGATGAATAGATTGCAATGAGCACATTTCATACATCATGCTATCACTTACTCATATTAACTGGTTGCTCTCGAGAGACTAAGCCATAAACTAGCCCCATGGTGGCGAACCTATGGCACACGTGCCACAGGTGGCACGCAGAGCCCTCTTTGTGGGCATGTGCACCCTCGCCCTAGTCTTAGGCCTTCAGCTGGGTTTTATAAAACCTTTTCGGTTTAGGCCTCCGCCGCTGTGTGCAAAAAAAAAAGTTCAATCAATTTCAACTTCTCACGGGGAAAAAAAAGATCTCGCAAAGTTGGAATTGATTGATTGAACTTTTTAATCCCATCCAGTCTGCCGTTACCACCGAAGCCATGCCCACCCAATGGGCCATGCCCACCCGGCACCCGATGATACATAAGTGGGTTTTTGTTTCCAATTTGGGCACTCGGTCTCTAAAAGGTTCGCCATCACTGAATTAGCCTATCCCATTAAGACATGGCATCCTTACATGGATGTATCCATGCAATTTTGGAAAGCCGAAAAAATTCTACATAGCTGTTCTTCTCAGAGATACAGACACAAAGGTCTGTCCATCTTCTTTCATACCTGATCTATTAGGCTAGGACTGGTTGTTTAGTATGGTGAAGGTAGTGCCTGAGGGGGCAGAAGAAGGTAGGTTATTTATTCTGTCTAAGCCAGCCAGACCCTAAGCATGGGAACCAAGCACTAATTAATTCTCTGATAGGATGAGACTAGGAGCCGTCTCATTTGAAGTGTGCAGATTTTATTCTCAACACCTAAAATATACAATAGCACCTCTGTGTAAGTAGCTCATACTGTAGAGTTCTTGGTGCTCTCTGAGCTGAGTTGTTTGCTTTCAGATGTGCGAATGTTGATGATGCTATCTAACTGGGTAGTGAAAGCATGTGCAAGTAAACAGCCTACCTCAGAAAGCACCAAGGATGTCACTGTTCAACCCTAAGCTACAAATATTCCCTTCTATTAGAACTTCCAACTCATAAGAAGTGATATGGTGATAATAAATTTTATACTCATTTACCTTACAAAGAAGCTTTGCCTTAAATTATTTTTACCCATACAGTATATTAAATGCAGTATTTCTTACCTACGCCCTCATTTTCTTGAACTTCAAATTTAGACAAAGCTTTGTCACACACAGGGGGGTTGTCATTGATGTCTACAACTTGGACTGAAATAGTGATTGGGTAGGCCAGCTTGTCTCCTTCTTCATCATTTGCAAAGATATAGAATGAATACTGAAATAGGATATATAATTAAAATTATATAATTAAGAACTGCAGAAATAGTTAATATAGGCTTAAGGAATAGTAGGGCAAACTGTATTATCAGAGTTTTTCCCCATCTCATATAAAACCTACTCAAGAACAACGTAATTTATTTGAAATGTTGGAATCTAGCCTAATAAACTGAATAAACAATAATTAATTAAACAAAAAAACTAATATAGAATGCAATGCTGATAATGAAATGCAAATATAAAACCACCTGAAAGTCACTCTAGTTTAGTTTTCCCCATATTTTAAAACATATCTGCTATCCTTTTCCATGTACTTACATAGTCTTTCTCTTCTCTGTCTAACGGTTTAGTTACATAAACTGTTCCATTGTGATCAACTATAAATGGGAGTTCAATAGAAGACTTGTCTTTGCTTTGAAGTTCATATGTTGCATGTGGATCATTCCATTGTACCTAATATTACAATGTAAGAGTAAACAACAAGTATACAAATGAAAAATTTTGACCTGAAATATGGGGCTTTTTTTAAAAAAAAAATTCTCTTTCTAATGCAACTTGGGACTACCAGAATTGCCATCGCTAAGCAGTGCAATTGTGTGACATCGTGCTTTCCAACATGCTACTTAGCAAATGCCAATTTCTTTATAATATAAGCTGCCCAGAGTTGCTTCAAAACAAGATGGGTGGCAAATAAATTTAATAATAATAATAATTCCAATCCCAATTGCCATTATTAACCAAAGACTATCAAGCAGTTATTTGAAAAAGAAATGACAGATCTATAAAATGCTCAAAACGATTGGAAAGAATCCAGAATGGTATCTTGTAGTTGAAATATTTGGCCTACATTTTTTGCTCTCTTGCATTATCCTCTTCTGTTGCTTTTTGTAACTTCTTGCCTATTGAAGAGTTCTGGGAAAATCAAAGATTTGTGCATGTTGATATTCTGGATGGATATAAGAAATGACCAGGCTGAGCCGGAGGGTGGGGTCAAATGCATCATCAGTTGGAGTCACTATGTCTCCGTAAGAGATCTAAGTCCCAGCCCTCCTTGAAGTCCATTGACTCTTGACTGGTGCCAATTTACCTTGATCATTACAGGTAGCCCTTGACTCATAACAGTTCGTTTAGTGACCATTCAAACTTACAATGGCACTGGAAAATGTGACTTATGTCCGTTTTCAACAGTTACGACCTTTACAGCATCTCCTTGTTCATGTGATCAAAATTCAGATGCTTAGCAACTGGTTCATATTTATGAGGGTTGCAGTGTCCCAGGGTCATGTGATCACCTTTTGCAACTTCTCACAAGCAAAGTCAATGGGGAAGCCAGATTCACTTAACAGCCAGGTTACTAACTTAAGAATTGCAGTGATTCACTTAACAACTGTGGCAAGAAATGTTGTAAAATGGGGCAAAACTCACTTAACAAATGTTTCACTTAGCAACAGAAATTTTGGGCTCAGTTGTTGTCTTAAATCAGGGCAACTGGACTTTCTTGTTTTTCTTTGAAGACGTTTCGCTTTTCATCCAAGAAGCTTCTTCAACTCTTCAGCTCAGAGCTGAAGAAGCTTCTTGGATGAGAAGCGAAATGTCTTCAAAGAAAAGCAAGAAAGTCCACTTGCCTCATGAAAAAGCATCTTTGGGATTTGCTTTTTAGATTCTAAAGATTCAATAAAGATTTCTATTATCTGGCGATAATATTTTAGGTCAAAGATTAACTTTCAGCATTCATTTTTCTACTACTCACAAATACTTCAAACGCTTCTGGACATCAAACATTCAAAATATCACCCAACATGATAACCACATTTTTTCAGTTACATATGGCATTATCATTTTTATCTCTAGCAATATTTCTGTCTTCTTTATAAAAACTAACCAAGTCCATTATGTCTATTGCCATATTGTGAAGCAAAAGGAAATACTTCTTTTCTCGCTAGGGAATCTCCTGCCAATTAAATTAGATTGCAATATAAAATTGCTACAGTCGTGGGTTCCATTCTTTCTTTCTATAATTTTTCTCAAGGAAATCATTCTAATTATCCAAAGTCATAGTTACATGCTACACCAGAATTACTGTACTTAGTTGGATGTTATGGAGAAGTGAATTTGCTGAATGGCCCAATTGTACCGTACATGGTGGAAATCAAAGGTTGTGTCTTTAATCATTGATGGTGAGTTGCCTGATAATTTATGAACTTACTTGAGTGATTTTCATGGGGTGTGGCTTTGTCGAGTTTTCCTGGAGCAATATTACTGGAGGAGATTTCCAAAAGTTTTTCAACACAGTGACCTTCACATCAGTATTGGTGGCAAAAGAATTTAGCTGTCCTGCCATGTCATTTACTGTCACTGCGAGGATAAATGTATTCTGTACTGCTGGATCTAAGAATTTTGTTCCTGAAAATATAACAGAGAATAAAACTTGAAAACATGTACTCATTCCTTCACTGACATTCTGAGACAATTACAACTCTGTTTCTTTAGCAATAACCCCATCACTTATCTTCTCATAAAATTTGCTTGCTATCATAAAATTTATGCTCCTGAATAATGGCAAATTCTGCTGTAACCCTGGTTTGCAAACACAGATATGTGAAAATGAGTTTTACAGGTAATTAATCAATTCCTAGGGTTTTTTTTCTTTTCATCTCTTCTGCCAAAGTCTACCGAGGATCCCAAATACCAAGCAGCTACAGAAAACACTTTAGCACATAACAGCACAGGAATCTATTTCTGCTTCGTTTATCTGCGGGTTTTGCCTGTATGATTGTGGAGGTTTTTAGAGATGGATCTTTTGTGGGAGAAACTCTGGTTTCTCTTCAGTTTGCATAAATATTTTGCATTTGTTAGAATATTGGTGCTTTTGCTAAGCTTCCAGTGTTGCCAGTCATAGTTAGTTTTCTCAGAGGTTACATCACATCTGCCCAGCAACAGTATTGGAGCCAGATGTTATGTAATGGTTTGTTTATGTATCTTTCACATACGTACATCAAGCCCTACATAGCTAGTAAAACATTGGGACCCCATTCTACATTTGGGGGGGGGTAAACCTTCTGGGATTGTTTTCCTTGGGGATTTAGAATCCATTTGGAAATGGCACATGTTTCCCAAATGTGGGAAAATTAGATTTAGAGATATGATAGACTATTGACTTTGACATGGCCATATGCTACCAGTGAAGTCTAGGCTAAACTGTACAAGACTTAATTATTTTCATATTTTTAAATTTATATTTACATTTTATTGACACAAAGTTAATAGTGATAGAGATGCATACAATTGTCAAAGAAAAGAAAACAGTACACAAAAAGCACTCTAATGAAAAGGTGCAAGAAATCTCATAAAAAATACATAATATATATCATTATAATACACAGTAACAATTCTATATATACTTGTCTAATGCAAATATTATTCAGATATGTATATATTTTTAATATATTTATATGTCTATATTTTTATAACTGTCATATTATGTATAAATGAGTGCCGTATTTCATTATACATTCGAGGTATCACTATGAAAAAAAAAATCACCTACCAGCAAGAGTTGTAGAAATTGCTCCTGTAACATTGTCAATCTGAAAATACATCTCAGTGCCCGCAAGGCTGGGGAATTGTTGAAGGATACTATAGCTGAGCTTTGAATGTAAGGTGTTGGGATCATCGAGATCAAAAGCAGCAACATACATGAAAGGCTTTCCTGTGTGTGTGTTTTTAAAAAAGAAAATAAACACAGTTTGGAAATGGAAAGTCTTGCTTAGCCCCAAAGGAGAATCACTATCAACATTCATACCAATAAACGGAACACCCTTAAGCATAATTTTTTTAGTTAGAAACATCAAGAAAAAAACCCTCCAGGTCAGGATTGCCTTTAGATATTTTAGTATTTTAAGGGGGGGGTGTATCTTTTTCACATGGCTAACTTTTGATTTGTAAGACCTTGGGAACATTCCTTTCTTTTAATAATGTTATATCCTTTACATGTCAACTATTACAACTTTTAGCCATTTTTCCCATCTGCTTCTTCAGCCTAACATTTCAACAAACCCAAAAGTGGACAAGAAGAAAAGTGGTTTAGCAAAGATTGAATTAAGTCTGCTTGGGAGGAACTTGGAATAGTACTATAGCTCTTCAGTCAAAGCTGCAAAGGCATCTTTGGGGTTTCACCTAGATCCCTGAAATAGTTAAACAAATTTAGGAGAAAAACATGCCATCCAATTTTATCTGGTGCTTTGTCTTTAAAGGTATGCCCAATAAAGAAGCATCCAGGATGCATATTAAATTTGGATCATCAAAATGGCTAGCCTCTTCAAAAATAGCTCTGTATGTTTTTCAGGAACTTGACCTGTTTGTTATAGTCTCCCATGGTTGCTTGGAAATACAATATATTATATTCAGTTTTGTGTTTAATATTTAACATTTCGTGAAGCTCAAAGTAAATATGGAAACAAATACCTGGTAGGGAGTGTTGTCTAACTTCGCCAGAGTAGACTGATTGATTAAATTGGGGTGCATTGTCATTGATATCCACAACATTTATGATGACAGAATAGGGTCCTTGCACCCTATTACCATTTTGATTTAGACCTTCCAACTAAATTGAGAGAGAGGTGGAGAAAAACAATATTAAAACAAAACATGTCCATAAAACAATACATTGTCTCCTTCCTGTTTGAATTGGCTTGCCAGGTTTCCCAGCCACATGCCTTCATGAAGTGTCAGCCAACAATTCCCATCATTCCCAATCAGTATGGCTCAAAATGATGGAAGCTGGGGTCTAATGAATCTCACAAGGCCAGAATAAACACTCCTGAGTTAGTCAGCTATTAGCTACAACATAATTGTAAGTGTTGCAGATAATACGGCAATGCTACTGCTTACATGATTGTTTCTCAATTTTGGGGATTTTAATTCTGGGACTGCAACTCCCAGAATTCACTAGCCAGTATGGGGAATAATTAACTAGTGATGGTTAAAGATGTAGTAAATCATCTGTATACTGTATATTTATGAAAGAGAGGTTGTGAATGATCCTTCAAAACAGGCTCTGTTTCTGCATAAGCAACAAACAAAATAAAGTATATACGTAAGTTCACGGGTTTGGAATAAAATCAGTACAAACCAGAATGTTGATTTGTATAAGATTCCCTGTGCCAGGAAAATGTACGTAAGAAATAACCTCAAGGAAATTAGTGCTAAAGTTTTCACACAACATTTTTTATAAAATGCCTGTATGTTAAGGAAAGTTGAAGAAGTAATAATGGATATTATTTTTGGGATGAAAACAGGAGAACAACAAATCAAAACAAAACAATAGATTACAGTACTGTATCACTGATCTGAAACTTGTTGATCAAGATGAAGAGGATCAAGCATTGAAATGGCTGAATTAAAGAGAATAAAGGAGTTATAATAACATGTACCTGTCCATAGCTCAGGGAAGGTATGACAGGAAACTACAGACAGGGAGCAAAAAGCTTGCTAAATACAGTATGTCTCTTTTTACTTGGTGAGCAATGACATTGTAACAACTTCTGCTTTTTATTTACTTTTGTGCAAACAGCTGTATTTCCTTCTTGTATAATCAACTAAACTAAAGTATAAAGGCATGTTGAATAAATCATTTGGGGGTTTTCCAGCTTTATAGGAGGACTCTCCTTTGTCCAAATCTGAATAAATGTGTGACTCAGAGAGAACTGAGGCTAGATTTAAGCTAATTTGCATAAACTAATATTACAATTCAAGGTAGCAATAGAGGTAGCAATAATAACATTCAACAAACCTATTTTACTGGGGGGGGGGGCAAGCCCTCAAAATACTGCAAGGATGAGCAAAGTTTTCAGTCTTGTCTTTTACAATATAATTACTCTATTGTTGTTATGTACTCTGCCTGAAAGCCTAAAGAAAGCTTTTAAAATTGTCAGTTTCCTACAACTAATATCCACTCCTACTATGAACACCATGGTTCTGAAAGGGGTAATATTATTTTGCATGTTGATATGGTTAATGATCGTTGATAAATTTAGGTTCTGAGATGTTAAAATGTTATACATGAATGGTGAGTTTTATTTTAATTGTATTTCTCTTCCCAATTGTGGCATATTGTGCTATATTTTCTGTTCTTACTATTTTTTTAATACATTGGTCATCCTGTCCTGAATTACCAGATTAAAAATCGACTAAATTATCAACCCATCCATCCATCCATTCTTTCATACAAACATAAGCACTAGACTAGAAGACAGTTACCGGTTTTGTTTTGCTTTTAATTATTATTATTTTCATTTTAGAAGCCTTCACTCAAACTTTGGGGGAAAAAACAGAACATTTAATGTCATTTTTGGTTTACCTGTAATCTATATTGTGGTTTTATTTCCCAGTTTAGAGGCCCCTTGACAATCAGGACTCCATCATGTGGTGTGATCTCTATGAGATAACTTGTTTCACCGGTCAGCCTCACACTGTAGGTAGGGGGTTGAAATTTAAACTGGTATGAAGAAAAAGAAGAAACTCAGAATACCATTTTTTTTTCTTATGTAAATCAAAGCCCCTCTCCTCTTTTCTATTCTTGTTTTTGTTCTGTTTTAAAAGAGGCAGCATGATTTATTTCCTCTTCCTACACCTTCAATCATTTTTCAGATTTGTTCCAAAGAAAGGGAAGAGTCAGTATTTCACATTACCCTGTATAAATAATGTGATCCCACTTTACCCTCTTCAACATAAAATACTTTGTTCTCCAAAGGTCCATTATCTTCAAGAAGGCAAGCAACCTGCAAGGACAAGAAGAGACAGGGTTTATTCATATTTTCCATATTAATTGATTGCAAGGAAGTATGATATATTTGCTAAAGCAGGCTCATTCTTTGAAAATATAATAGAGGGAATAGCAGTACTTTCTTAAGGATGGGGAATAAATTTTATTTCCAAAAGATTCAGCAGATAACAGGCAAGAATGCTTAGCATTTTACGTTTATACTGAACACGATGAATTCTGGCAGAAGCTTCTAAAAATCAAAATAATCAAGAGTCTAAAATATTTCCAGTTAAATTCCAAAAATTGAGGAGGTGAAATCAGATTCAAAACGTAAGTTTGACTTTAACTTTGAAGCATTAATAGTGAAATTGAAAAAATATAGTTTGAGTACATTATCTGCAAACAGGTCATCTGTATTTAAATTATTGAGGGTTGTGTAAGGGGGTTCCTTTAGCCCTAAATCAGTTTTATATGTGTATATCTACTATTGTTTCAACATTATATTGCATTATTTCAACAACAGTAATAAATCTTAATTCCTACAAGGTGTAATTAAGAATGGAAACATAAAAAAACCAGTGACATCTCCTAACTGTTGTTGCTTCAATCTTAACATATATTTTATTCAGAATACATAGTTATCAGTTTCTCACAAAATAATGTTGGTTATTATGAATAAGCAGAACTATTATGCAGACACTTCACCTGGAATAATACAGTTCTACAACTCTTATTTTCTCACAAAATCATTCATCTTCCTGGACTGGAAGGCCATGCTCAATCGCCCATGCTTTAGTCATCTCCCATTTGGATTATTGCAATGTGCTATTCATGGAGCTGCCCTTGAAGACCACCTGGAAGCTGCACCTGATCTAGAACAGTGGTTCTCAACCTATGGGTCGGGACCCCATTTGGGGTCGATCGACCATTTCACGGGGGTCGCCAAGCAAGGCTGTCCACCATTTTTTTGTCCGCCATTTTTTCCCCCTTTTCCGGCGGGTGCCTTACTTTTCCGGCGCCTTACTTTTCCGGCGGGTGCCTTTTCCCCCTTTTCCGGCGGGTGCCTTACTTTTCTGGCTGGGCCAGCTGGTGGTCGGCCTGCTCCGTCTCTGCCGCTTGCCAGCTACGCCTCGGCCGGCGCAGGGGGCAGAACCACGCATGCGCGGTGCTCCCTGGCAGGGAAAGTCCTCGACTTACGACCGGTTGGGTAGTCCTCGACTTACGACCGGTTTAGTCCTCGACTTATGACCGGTTTAGTCCTTGATTTACGACCGGTTTAGTCCTCGACTTACGACCGGTTGGGGTTGCGGCATTAAAAAGGTTGAGAACCACTGATCTAGAATGTAGCTGCACATGCAGATTTAGGTGCCAACTAACCCCACTGCTGAATGAGCTGCACTGGTTGCCGCTTGCTTTCCAGGTATAATTCAATGTGCTGGTTACAAATTTTGGGAAATTATCTACCTCCGAGATAAAATGTGTTAATGCTTACATATTTTGATTAGATGAATCAGAAAACATGTGATAAAGGTACTGGTTGGCTAAAGTTTTCAAGATATTTTACAATAAAGATTTATACACAGGCAAGTATATTTGCCTACAAGGGAGGGAGGTGTCCAATGATCATGATGCCTCGTAACCTCTCGACAAAGTACGGTAGAACAATGAAAATGGTACCACATTTAAGTGTATAAATTTATCTTCACTTTCAGACTAAAGATTATTACCTAACTATAATTTGTTGTTCTTTTATTGCAAGGTATATTTTTTCTTGGTCAGAAAAAATACAGTTACATCATACAGTTACATCTGGTGGCTTGTGAAAGTGTTATTGCCTAACATTTCCAAGGAACAGTTGTGGGATATTTTCTCTCAGAAGCCAAGAGGCCACAAAACTGTGTAAACAATGCAGACAACTTCTGCTACAGTTGTGGCAAGGTTACATTTGTATCTCAAAAGTGCAATATAATGGTAATTTTGACCTGAAGCTGTATCTTGGAAACTAGAGCCAATTAATAGGACTTAATTTTCCTTTATTAGTGACCCAATTCTGGTAAAAATTAAGCTACTTTCATTTCCGAGGCTTTCTCCTTGTAGACCAGAGTTATCACTCTAAAGCCCTATATGGGAGAAGGCCAGGTTACCTACAGGACTGCCTCTTCCTGAGTCATCTGCTATTCCAACTAGGTTAGATAGGGTACGTATTCCCCAGGTCCTCTCCCTATTGTGTTTTGATGGGATCTTGGTGGCAGGCATTCTCAGAGCCAGATCTTTGCATCAGCCTCCCACCAAAGATTAGAAGACTCCTATCCTATTAGCCATAGAGGGCGGTGAAGACCTAGCTCAGTGGTGGCGAACCTATGGCACGCGTGCCAGAGGTGGCACTCAGAGCCCTCTCTATGGGCACATGCACCATTGCCCTAGTCCCACCTCCCCCGCGGCCCCCTTCTCACTCACCAGCAGCCCCCCCGAGGAGAGTCACTTGCGGGTGCAGAGCAGCACAGCCGAGGTCATGGCAGCTGGGCAGCAGGGGCTGCCCTTATCACACACAGATGATACTGCGGGGTGCGGTCTGAGGGACTGTAGGGCCACCTGGGCGATCTGCTGCAGAGGGCCATGGAGGCGGTGGGTGGCCCTGTGGGCAGGTGGGGTTGGGGCAGAGTGGGGAGGGGAGGGGCAGAGTGGAAGTGGGGTAGGGTTAGGGGGCGGAGCGGGGCAGGGCTGGGGGGCAGAGCGGTTTTTGGGCACTCGGTCTCTAAAAGGTTCACCATCACTGACCTAGCTCTTTCCTCTAGCATTGGGATGGGATGGGAGAGTTGAACTGTGAGGATGTTTGGTATGTTTTAATTATGTTGTATGGATTATTGTAAATCATCTAGAGTCATTGTATGAGTTTGGTGGCATATAAGTCCCATAGGTATATACAGTATATACATAATCTTGATCCACAGCTTTTATTCCCATGTTAGAATCTGATTAAAATTCCAGATTCATGCATAATTTAGAGCCTCTTCTTGAATCTACCTACAGCATAGACATGTCCTGCCAACATCTTTTTTTGGGGGGGAGGGGAGCATGATCCCATGACATCACCTTTAATTTGTCCCCAGCCCATGATTAAGACAGACATAAATTGTCTTTAGCTGTACTAATGCAAACAGTACTTTCCTCTTTATTATGGCACTTTTTATCAGTACATTTCTTCCTTCTTCTAGAGCTTCTTTCCCAAGTCGGGAAGATATAAGAAAAAGTTGCCCTTTGAACAGGGAGTACTATACTGCATACCATTCTGAGAACCACACCTAGAAAGGGGTATGAACACGCCGGAGCAAGATTTCTGCTATTTAGATAACAAATGATTAAAGGATCTGGATATGAGATCATAACTACCAATATCCACAGTATTGTCCCATGCCAGAGGGGAGAGGCATCTTCTCTACTAAAACTGAGGGCAGGACAAAGACCAACTGATGAACTTCAGGAGACTCAGACTACCTCTTAGGAATAATGTCTTGGTTAAGAGTTATGAAGAGATGGGACAGCCTGACAAGAATATTAGTGGGATATCTCTCTATAGATGTTTTCAAGTGGAAGTGGAGAGACTTCTATGGGGACGGTTTAGTGCAGCAGACCCCAATCTTTCTGGTTCCATGGACCGGCAGTGGCAGCAGTGGGTGGTGGTGACAGGGGCAGAGGATAGTTTCCCACGCACAATTTAATCCTGCACATGAGCAAATGGAACTTTGCGCAGTCACCTGCCACTTGCATGGCCCAGTTTCCAATGGACTGAAGACCGGTAGCGGTCTGCAGACCGAGGGATGGGGACCCCTGGTTTACTGAATTGCTGTACAGAGCTTGCAGTTAAACTCAATGGCCTAAATGTCCTGCCAATCCATATTTTCTGTGATTCCATGATTCAGTAAGCTTCCACATTGGAGACATTGAAAGAGCTAAACACCTATTGGACTTCTGCTAGCATGAAAGAAATGAGAGAATGGCCTGCATTTTTTCTTCCCTTTCATAATCAGTTTTAAACACATTCCATTCATCTGAATCTAATGAAAAGAAAAACGTATTTCCCATCTTCCCATCTGATAAATAAAATCTGAGTCCAAAGGAGGAATGGGGAGGAGAAAGCATCTCAGAATTTAAGTTCTTGTATTCTTTGTTTTGGTTTTCTGTCTAGATTACCTCAAACTCCCTTTTGTTTCTACACTCCAATTCTCCATATTTTCAATGTTCAGGTTACGTTTCAGGGTAAATGATTCTTTAATTCTGCTTTGGAAGCAAGCTATTGTTTGAATCCATGACGAAAGGATCTCACTGTAGGAGTGGGGGAAATGGGATGTTTTCCCAAGATAAATCTCCAATAGCTGATCCTAGGTTTAATCGGTCTAATTTCTCACCTTTGACAAATCTAATTTGTATACTCTAGCTCAGGGCTTTTTGATTTGTTTCAGGCTGTAGAACCAATTAAAAATATTCCTAGAACTCTGATCTACCTTTAGAGATAGAGGATTGTCAATAAAACAAAACATCTGTTCACTTAAACTTATCTGTGAAAATGTATATATTAAAGTTATTTGGATTTCACAAAAATACGTCTCTTAGCTGTTGTCCTAGAAAGATCTTCTACAAGATAAGTATGAAAAGTAAGCTATTCATTGTAACAGCAAGATTAATGTTTCTAACGTACAGAAGTTGAAGCTTGCATTTCACAATTACTTGGGAGATTAATGTTTTCACCAAACAAACCCACTCTCAACAACTGGGATATAATTGCTTTTTTTAAAAGAAAGCATCATTTATCACAAAAATCCTAATAACGTGTTGGCACTTGTGTTAAGAATGGACAAAAAGGCTCAAGTCTACTGTATAAAGTTCACTTTTACTGCTATATTTCAAAAGATTTTCTCCCTGGGCTGATCATTGTGACTAGCTTGCCCTAGTACTAATATGGGCCACTCATACTTCTTAATGTGGTCCCCTACACAACCCTGATCAACAAATAACTTC